TATATTGGCAATTTTTTTTCTCATTTCTTTCAATTTTATTTATATTTAAAAAAAAAGAAAAATTTATTCTTTCAATTATTTTTCAACTATTTTTCTTATTATTTTTTCTGTATATAGAGACAGAAATTATGTACAAAAGAATGAAAAAATATATATGGACATATTTTATATATAATTTTATATATATATATATGTATAATGAAAAAGATAAGGGAAGGTGGGTGGAAAGGAGGTTTACTGGAGGTAGAGAGTGAGGAAAGGGGAGAGGAGAGGAGAGGAGAGAGAGAGAAAGAGAAAGAGAAAGAGAGAGAAAAAGAATGGAATGGTAAAAGAAAGATTTAAATGGCATGACAGGATAAAAAATAAAAATTTGTAGTTAGTGTAAAGAATCGTTTATCAATACAAATAGCTCTGAAGGAAACGAAGATTCCCCAGAGAAAGATAGCGTGCGGTTAGATAAAAGTAGATATTAAGTTAGATTTAAGTTAAGCCTGCGGCACACGGTACGATTTTGCATACTAGATCGCATGCGAGACATTTTGCTAGCAATTATAATGGCTATGCAACTTGAAATATTATGTGCTGCGTGTTGCTGTGCGTGCTAGCATGCTAGTTTTTGGTAATAGGTTCGGTGCTATATTTCACTATGGTTTTGTTGCTAGCTGCAGACGATACTACGACAAAAACGCAAAAAATAAAAATAATAATAAATATAAAGACAAAAGTTATATATACATATATAAGTAATTATGTATTTTATTTATAATTATGGTGATATTAATTGAATATGTATATAATTAATTAAAAATGACAAATTTTTCCTAACCTAATAAAATTTAAAACATTTTATTAATTCTTCCATAATAAATATTTTGAATCGTACCTTGACTAGATAAGCAATCATTGGCTATTATCTAGAATCTAGAGGATTTTTAGAGTCTTGAAGAATTTTGTTGAAATCTCTAGAAATTTTATAACTAAAATATTGACCCAACACGTAAGATAATCTGCACGTGTGAAGCCAAAACTAGTAACACTCGTATGATTGGAACATGTAGAATACTTCGCTAAACAGCACGCAACGAATCAATTAACAAAATCAGTACAAAAAATCGTACCGTGTGCCGCAGGCTTTATATTGGATAAAGTGAATATTAAGGGGATTTAGTTGTAGAGGAGGGTATGCATTTTAAGCAATTTGGGGAGCACGTAGGGATTGTTGGGATCACATTTTTTTTACTCAGTTTCACTTGCTAAACTCGAAAATTATAGTTAAAACAATCTTAGTATCCAGGAAAAATTTTGAGAGACATTTTAAACAAAAGAAAGCAATGGTTGATTTTATTATTTTCTCGAGCCATCTCAATAAATTTTTCTCATATTTTTATTAAAACTGTGGTTTTTACTTTTGCACTAAAGAATAAATAATATTTTCTAGTAAAAGCTATTATTATAGAGCATCTATGAAATGGAATACTATGAATCGCAATAATAAGGCCTACAAATGAATGTTTCTTATATAGAGGAGGGGATTTAAGGCGACAGGAGGCAAACAAACCAAGCATCCATCTCTTCCCTGGCAGCGGCACTGTCGTATCTGTGTAGAGCATTTACATACTCTTCCAGCCCGACAAATAATTGTTAGAAAACAATATTTGCGGATCTGAAAAAATATGCGAAGTACGAGTGGCTGAATCGGGAATCGAACCCGAGTCTTTTATTTCGCTTTCCGGGCAACTGCTCTTACCACTAAGCTATTCATACCTCACATCTTATGCCACTTTAACACGATTTATACGACTCCAGAGCGATGTTGGAATCTCGCTTAATGGATGCAGTGCCGACTGCCACGGAGACTCGAAAATTATAGTTAAAACAATCTTAGTATCCAGGAAAAATTTTGAGAGACATTTTAAACAAAAGAAAGCAATGGTTGATTTTATTATTTTCTCGAGCCATCTCAATAAATTTTTCTCATATTTTTATTAAAACTGTGGTTTTTACTTTTGCACTAAAGAATAAATAATATTTTCTAGTAAAAGCTATTATTATAGAGCATCTATGAA